GCTCTATTACATTGTCTGCCTACCTTTAGAGGACCACTCTAGGCACCCAGACCACTCCAGCTTAATGAAGTGGTCTGGGTGCCAGGCCCAGCTAGGGTTAACCCATTTTTTTATAAACATAGCAGTTTCACAGAAACTGCTATGTTTAGGAATGGGTTAAGCCTTCCCCCATTCCCTCTAGCGGCTGTCTCATTGACAGCCGCTAGAGGTGCTTACGTGCTTCTCACTGTTTTTACAGTGACAGCACGCCAGCGTCCATAGGAAAGCATTGATAATGCTTTCCTATGCCTCTGGCTGAATGCGCCCGCAGCTCTTGCCGCGAGTGCGCATTCAGCCGACAGGGAGGAGAAAAGGAGGATCGGAGGAGGAGAGCTCCCCGCCCAGCGCTGGAAAAAGGTAAGTTTTTACCCCTTTCCCCTTTCCAGAGCTGGGCGGGAGGGGGTCCCTGAGGGTGGGGGCACCCTCAGGGCACTATAGTGCCAGGAAAACAGTATATTTTCCTGGCACTACAAAGGAGTGCAGAATTATTAGGCAAATGAGTATTTTGACCACATCATCCTCTTTATGCATGTTGTCTTACTCCAAGCTGTATAGGCTCGAAAGCCTACTACCAATTAAGCATATTAGGTGATGTGCATCTCTGTAATGAGAAGGGGTGTGGTCTAATGACATCAACACCCTATATCAGGTGTGCATAATTATTAGGCAACTTCCTTTCCTTTGGCAAAATGGGTCAAAAGGACTTGACAGGCTCAGAAAAGTCAAAAATAGTGAGATATCTTGCAGAGGGATGCAGCACTCTTAAAATTGCAAAGCTTCTGAAGCGTGATCATCGAACAATCAAGCGTTTCATTCAAAATAGTCAACAGGGTCGCAAGAAGCGTGTGGAAAAACCAAGGCGCAAAATAACTGCCCATGAACTGAGAAAAGTCAAGCGTGCAGCTGCCACGATGCCACTTGCCACCAGTTTGGCCATATTTCAGAGCTGCAACATCACTGGAGTGCCCAAAAGCAAAAAATACATTAAAATACATAACGACAGAAATACCGAATGCATATGGTTCGTGTAACGTATCCCCAGACAGCCTGGATCTGAGGGCATGCTTTCACCGAATAGCGCTCAGATCCGATGTATCTAGTCGAATCGCCATGGAGTCAAAGTCTTTCACCAGTCCTTCGGTATACGAATGACTCCATGGGATGGCTGTCGGGGTGAAAGTCCATACGAATGAATAAAACTCCCGAACGACCGACGTTCGCATGCTTTGTCGAAAAGGAAGGTAGGCAGCAGCTTTTCAGCGGTGTTCGGTAGTTTAAGTGTCCGTTTTTAGTTCCATACAGTTTGTACCGAACACCGCTCTGTGTTCGTATGTCCCAAAATGGCCGCTGCCTCGTGGTCGACATGCGAACGACGACCACCCGTACGAATGGAATGGAGAGGTGTCTGCGGTTAACCACAACGTTCTAATTGGGGCCAGGAGGTTAACCAGCAGCACACTCCTCTCCTGGGTGGTCGTTCGTTCGGTAGTTTTAATCGGTATTTTGCAAATTACACGAACGGGGGTATATGAACAGGCAATTCCGCGAACAAAGGGAAATAGACGAACCAACAATGTAGATGAATCTGTCACAGTAGCCATCACAGAAAAAAAAATTGCCACACAAAAGTATATATTTATATAAAGTAGCCATCACAGGCTATTTACCCAAGGTTGTTTTGACACTTTTTACGTAGCCATTTCATCACCAATCTCTGCTATATATTGGAGTAAAATTGTGTTTTTTTTTCTCTATTTCAGCATATATACATATAACAAGGTTTTTGTAATGTGTATTTCGTAAAGCTGGTGTGTGCTATTCCCCAGATTGTGTTCAGCTACATCTGTTGCGTATGATGATAACCCCATTGTATGCCTTTGGCACTCTTCTGTGAAGCTACAATGCCATATAAGAGACAAGGCTATTTCAGTTTCTATAGTTAAAATTTTCGTACATGGATTTGATGGGCCTATGTCTCATTATGGGGTATTATATCATTGTGACTGTTTAAAAAACCCTACAAAGGGCTTACATTTGATAAAGCAGACACCCCAAGGTATCTTATATGGCATATATTGTGCCTTAACTTGTCACCATTTTATCACCAATTTATGTCAGTTTGTGGTGAGGGGAAAGAAATTGCATTTTTACATATATGCTGCATTTTTGCTGAGTATTTCTTACACTTTATATGTGCCACTGTCATAAAACCCCCCAAATTATGCTCAGTTACATCTTCTGAGTAAAACATAATTTCCAATCTATGACCTAGACACTATTTTTTTAAATTATAGTGCTGTAAAAGAGATGTGGCAAGTTCAGATTTTTAAGTGTGAATTTTTATGGAGGGTTTTGATGCTTCCGTGACCCACTTTGGGGCACTCGAGCAGGCTACATATTCCAACTACACCATAAAGGCACACCATTTCTTAAAGAAGACATCCCAGGGTTTTTCAAAAGGCATATTTTAAACCTTAGCATGGGCTAATTTTTCTGCTAGCTTGTACCAAGTATAGTGGTAAAAAGCATTTTGTCTGCTTTTTTGTCACAAAAAGTGAGTTTGCACAGTATATTTTGCATACCTTATGTGTGCTACAACTGTATAATACTTCATATGTTGCTCAGCTATGTTGTCTGAGTACAGCAATACCCCCATATGCACCATTTCCAGGTATATGTGGACATTGAAGGGGCACATTTGAGACACAGCCATTCCAGTTTTTTCAAACTTTGAATTTTTACACTGTGTCCATGTCCCATTTTAGAGTATTTTAGCAGGCTATATAATCCAACGACCCCATAAAGGCATGCCATTTCTTAAAGAAGACATCCCAGGGTATTTCAAAAGGCATATTTTGAATCTTAGCGTTGGATAATTATTCTGTTAGCTTGTACCAAGTGTAATGGTAATAAGCAATACCCTTGTATGTACTTTTGCCAGGTATATGTGGCTGTTAAAGGGGCACATTTGAGACGCAGCCATTCAGTTTTTTTCTAACTTTGAAGTTTTTCGCTGTGTCAATGTTTCATTTCGGAGTAGTTTTGCTGGTGGGTTATTCAAACTTCCCCACAAGTGAGAGGTAGACCTCTCTTAATCCAGAGAGCAGGAACAGGAACAGGAACAGCTCTTACAAGAGCTTAGTGATTATACTCAGGGGAGTATACTGATTATAGCAATCCCCCAGAGTGTAGTTTTCCAATCTCCCAAAACATGAGCCGAAACTTCATGGAGGTGCAAGATAATCTGAGCTTTAATGGTTCAGGTTGGCTTTTATACAATTCAGAGGAACACCCCATGGATCTGATGGGGCACAGGAACACAAAGGACACAAACCAATCAGAACAAACATACAGTCTGTGACACGCCCATGTACAGCACACAATCCCTCCTCTCTGCTTGGGAGATAATTGAGTCCTGTAAGTAACTCAATTATCTCCAGGCAGAAAAACCCTGTTTCACAAAGTTCAGAAAGTACCCCACAACATAACATACCCCCAAACATGTTACATACCCAGATATCCAAAAATAACCCATATCAGAGCAGGGGTTCAAAAGTTTCATGGAAGTCTCTTTTTGACCGGCTGCAAGCATGGCTTCATGCCCAAAACAGTTCAAGGGAATTAGGGCCAGCAGCCATTCTCTCTTTGTGGAATAAAAAAGTACTTACATTACATGCATGGAGCATTTTAAAGTGTATTCGGCAAGGTACACTGCTCAAAAAAATAAATTGAACACAAAAAGAACACATCCTAGATCTGAATGAATTAAATATTCTTCTGAAATACTTTGTTCTTTACATAGTTGAATGTGCTGACAACAAAATCACACAAAAATAAAAAAAATGGAAATCAAATTTTTCAACCCATGGAGGTCTGGATTTGGAGTCACACTTAAAATTAAAGTGGAAAAACACACTACAGGCTGATCCAACTTTGATGTAATGTCCTTAAAACAAGTCAAAATGAGGCTCAGTAGTGTGTGTGGCCTCCACGTGCCTGTATGACCTCCATACAATGCCTGTGCATGCTCCTGATGAGGTGGCTGATGAGGATGCTCCTCAAGGGGATCTCCTCCATAGAATGTGGCCCGACGAAGATAAGAACCATTGACCCCATCTAGTCTGCCAATTTTTCCTAAATACTTTCATTACTGGTCCTAAATATATCTTATAGTTACTTGGGATGGCAGGTCATGCCTATCCCACACGCATGCTTAAACTCCTTTTACTGTGTTAACCTCTACCACTTCAGCTGGAAGGCTATTCCATTATCCACTACCCTCTCAGTAAAGTAATACTTACTGATATTATTTTTAAACTGCTTTGCCCTCTAATTTAAGACTATGTCCTCTTGTTGTGGTAGTTTTTCTTCTTTTTAATATAGTCTCCTCCTTTACTGTGTTGATTCCCTTTATATATTTAAATGTTTCTATCATATCCCCCCTGTCTTGTCTTTCCTCCAAGCTATACATGTTAAGATCCTTTAACCTTTCCTGGTAAGTTTTATCCTGCAATCCATGAACCAGTTTAGTAGCCTTCTCTGAACCCTCTCTAAGGTATCAATATCCTTCTGAAGATACGGTCTCCAGTACTGTGTACAATACTCCAAGTGAGGTCTCACCAGTGTTCTGTACAATGGCATGAGCACTTCCCTCTTTCTACTGCTAATACCTCTCCCTATACAACCAAGCATTCTGCTAGCATTTCCTGCTGCTCCTATTACATTGTCTGCCTACCTTTTAGGGACCACTCTAGGCACCCAGACCACTCCAGCTTGTAAGTGGTCTGGGTGCCAACAGGGTGCAACAATTTTTTATATAACATAGCAGTTTCACAGAAACTGCTATGTTTAAAATGAGTTAAGCCTTCCCCATCCCCTCTAGCGGCAATGCTCGTGACAGCGGCAGCTACTGAGAAATAACTACGATAACTTCTCACTGTTTTACAGTGACGAAAAACGCGCAAGCGTCCATAGGAAAAGCATTGATAATGCTTTCCTATGTGACCGGCTGAATGCGCGCACAGCTCTTGCCGCGCGTGCGCATTCAGCCGCATGGGAGGAGAAGAGGAGGATCGGAGGAGGAGAGCTCCCCGCCCAGCGCTGGAAAAAGGTAAGTTTAACCCCTTTTCCCCTTTCCAGAGCTGGGCGGGAGGGGGTCCCTGAGGGTGGGGGCACCCTCAGGGCACTATAGTGCCAGGAAAACGAGTATGTTTTCCTGGCACTACAGGGAGTGCAGAATTATTAGGCAAATGAGTATTTTGACCACATCATCCTCTTATGCATGTTGTCTTACTCCAAGCTGTATAGGCTCGAAAGCCTACTACCAATTAAGCATATTAGGTGATGTGCATCTCTGTAATGAGAAGGGGTGTGGTCTAATGACATCAACACCCTATATCAGGTGTGCATAATTATTAGCAACTTCCTTTCCTTTGGCAAAATGGGTCAA